ACATACATGTGGCATTTAGGAGTCAGAACAAAGATGTACTTATAAATAAGCTCTGAGTTAGAATAATGTGTCTGAGTAGGGTGTTTATCTTGTAAGCTAACACATTAGAATTGACTCAGCTTGCCTGTTTAGTACAGATCAGAGTACATGTATAAAGCAGGACTTAGTAGATAATAGTCTTCTGGTTAGTAGAAAAGAGGGTACATTGTACATGTATAAAGCAGGACTTACTAGATAACAGTCTACTGGCAAGTACAAAAGAGGGTACATTGTACATGTATAAAGCAAGACTTACTAGAAAACAGTCAACTGGTTAGTACAAAAGAGGGTACATTGTACATGGATAAAGCAGGACTTAGTAGATAACAGTTTGCTGGTTAGTACATTAGAGGGTAGATTGTACATGTATAAAGTAGGACGTACTAGATAACAGTCTTCTGGTAAGTACAAAAGAGGGTACATTGTACATGTATAAAGCAAGACTTAATAGATTATAGTCTACTGGTTAGTTCAAAAGAGGGTAAATTGTACATGTATAAAGCAAGACTTACTAGAAAACAGTCTACTTGCAAGTACAATAGAGGATACATTGTACATGTATAAAGCAGGACTTACTAGATAACAGTCTACTGGTTAGTATAAAAGAGGGTACATTGTACATGTATAAAGCAGGACTTACTAGATAACAGTCTACTGGTAAGTACAAAAGAGGGTACATTGTACATGTATAAAGCAGGACTTACTAGATAGTCTACTGGTTAGTACAAAAGAGGGTACATTGTACATGTATAAAGCAGGACTTACTAGATAACAGTCTACTTGTTAGTATAAAAGAGGGTACATTGTACATGTATAAAGCAGGACTTACTAGATAACAGTCTACTGGTTAGTATAAAAGAGGGTACATTGTACAAATATAAAGCAGGACTTACTAGATAACAGTCTACTGGTGAGTATAAAAGAGGGTGCATTGTACATGTGTAAAGCAAGACTTACTAAATAGATAACAGTCTACTGGAAGACCCTATTTGGGCACATTGCTCTGAATCTAAGATAGTGGAAAAGAGATAAATTGAGTTACTAGTATTAGATACACAAATGAAGGCATTTAGTCGATTAGGTGTATCCAAATTATACCAAGATATTACAGTAAAATCAAAGGATAGATTTCAAGTATTTTAAGGGGGTCTTTATGCTATTAATCTTATTTTATGTTAAAGCATGATAAATGCAGGATATCCAATTACATTTAATGACATCTTAGTTTATTTACACCAAAATGTCGTTAAATGACATTGGATACCCTGCATTTATCATGCTTTTCAATAACATATGGTCAAATCGCTGAAAGACCCCCCTCCTAAATTATTGAAAACTTTCATCCTGCATTGATAATAATAATTATCTTGGTGTAAATTAGATACACCCATTCGTTCTAACGCCCTAAAGGTGTATCTAATACATATTTCTGTGAAATAATAAGTTCCATTATATATTTCATTTGAATATCTATACATCATATACATACATGACTTTTGGGATTTATTGTCTTAAGAAGAATAATAACTTTTAACGATTCACTGACTTAATGAAAATCAGCCATATCAAATTTAAAATTGCTGCTTCTTATAGATTAGATGAAGTCTCTTGTATATATATCCAAACATTCATGTATATAATTTTTAAAAGTCACCGATTGAAGTCTGCTCTGAATATAGGAACTACATGATTTTAACAGATTTCAGTGCCCATATGAATGGCTAGATAATGCTTTGTGTTTTAATGTTAATGGGAAATAGACATTAAATGTACATTGAAAGATCATTGTGATTTACTTCATATGTTTCCATCTCTTCTTTAATTACTTAAATTAGGATGAGAAATAACTGGTGACAAAACTGGAAAGGTGACTGTGAAATTTCTAATTTTACTTTTTTCTTTACAATCCACTACTAAATTACAATTTATTTTATTAATTGCTTATTTTAGTTTATAATGTATAGGTTGTACTAATTGATCATCTTTTTTTATGATATCACATGAAAACAGTGATGGAATATATTGTTTTATCGTGTTCAAAAGTTTACAAGATAAGAAATTTCTCATGTTGTATATCATCACAAATTTTGATGCATCAATGCAAATATAAAACAAGTTTATTGCATTTTCATGCAGACATGAACTCATTGAAGTAATTTATCAATTAATTGAAAGTTTTAAAAGGTGGATATTCCACAAAACATTTATGAAGTTTATATGCACCTTCCTTCAAATTTACATTTAAACAATTTTAATCAGAGTTAAAAAAAGAATAGGATACCAAACTAAATACAATTTGATTGCATACATTGAAGTTTGAAGACATGACTAATAACAGGCTTGTAGGCTGTCTATATACTGATTTTGTTCTTTTATGGTACAATTTATTATTTCACTGTTCCAGATAAAACATTAAAGGGGGGGGGGGGGGGGGGGGGGGGGGGTTATTGCTAAAAAAAAACTAGATTAATTCTGAAGTATGTTTATTTTCTGGTCTCAAAGCAGAAATGAAATATATTTTTTTTAGGGATTTTGGTGATTATGGCAGATATTTGATAGTCTTTGTGAAATTGATACTCAACTTTTCCAAAGTGGGCGATTAAGAGCTTGCCATATTGAATAAATTTTGTCTGATGTTGCAGACCTTATGTTTACCTTAGATGTCTTTTGATATTTTGTGTTGTTGGATTGTTCTCTCAAATGAAATATAATTTATTAAGGGACAGGCTTGTAGCTGGTCTACATATGGATGATATGTTAAACTTGTATCAGGTCTACATGCATATGTGGATTAGATAATCAGTGACTTCCTTGTATCAGGTCTACTTGTGGATTAGATAATTAGTAACAGCCTTGTAGCATGTCTTCACATGGATTAGATAATCAGTGACTGCCTTGTAGCATGTCTACACATGGATTAGATAGTCAGTGACTGCCTTGTATCAGGTCTACATGTGGATTAGATAATCAGTGACTTCTTGTATCAAGTCTACATGTGGATTAGAAAATCAGTGACTGCCTTGTAGCATATCTACACAGTAGATAGTCAGCAACTGCATTGTATCAGGTCTACATGTGGATTAGATAATCAGTGACTGCCTTGTAACATGTCTCCACATGGAGTAGATAGTCAGTGACTGCATTGTATCAGGTCTACATGTGGATTAGATAATCAGTGACTGCCTTGTAACATTTCTACACGTGGAGTAGATAGTCAGTGACTGCATTGTATCAGGTCTACATGTGGATTAGATAATCAGTGACTGCCTTGTAACATTTCTACACGTGGAGTAGATAGTCAGTGACTGCATTGTATCAGGTCTACATGTGGATTAGATAATCAGTGACTGCCTTGTAGCATTTCTACACGTGGAGTAGATAGTCAGTGACTGCATTGTATCAGGTCTACATGTGGATTAGATAATCAATGACTGCCTTGTAGCATGTCTACACATTGATTAGATAGTCAGTGACTGCATTGTATCAGGTCTACATGTGGATTAGATAATCAGTGACTGCCTTGTAACATTTCTACACGTGGAGTAGATAGTCAGTGACTGCATTGTATCAGGTCTACATGTGGATTAGATAATCAATGACTGCCTTGTAGCATGTCTACACATTGATTAGATAGTCAGTGACTGCATTGTATCAGGTCTACATGTGGATTAGATAATCAGTGACTGCCTTGTAGCATTTCTACAGGTGGATTAGATAGTCAGTGACTGCCTTGTGGCATGGTTACACATAGAGTTGGTAGTCAGTTAATGTCTTGTAGTTATAAATCTTTACTAATGGATTATTTATAGAGTTCCAAAAATTAAGAAGATTATGTAAAGAAAATCATCATCTGATTGCTCTTTTAGTTCATCAGGACTTATTTGCAGAGTTTATGCTAGGAAAAAGACAAATTTACCAATTAATTGAAAAATTGAAAATATAAGACAAGGATATATTTTGTGTAAGATAAAACTATAAAAAATGCAAATTCTTAACTACAGGCATAAAAGGAAATTTAACATGAAATAATATAGTTTTAAAAGGTGTAAGATCACTAGTACATATACTATTTATAGTGGAGCCTGGAGCTTGATGAAGTCATCTGTTGGGGAAATTAAATATGAAAAATTATTTGGAAAGCAAGTATTTTTCTAAATAATCTTATATGTTGCATTAAATCAAAAATTATTCAAATTAACACAAATTAATGACCAGTAAGTTGAACCTCTATATATTCTGTCAGCCACTGTACATTGTTTTTTCTTTTTATTTCCTCTTCATGAAATGTTTGATACCTTGTTTTAAAGTGACTTATAAGTATATGAATCATAATTAAACAAATATGGAGTAAACAAACAATCTATTTTACTTAGACTATTTAAATACCAATATTAAAGTCCTCAGTGCTTAAAATAATTTTTAGCTCACCTGGACTAAAATGCAGTTAAATGCCAGAAAATGTCAGATGACTTCTTTCTCCCTGTGTTGAAGACCCATTGGTGGCCTTGGGCTGTTTTCTGCTCTTTGGTCGGGTTGTTGTCTCTTTGACGCAATCCCTGTTTCCATTCTCAATTTTACATATAGGATTATTTTAGATATTAGCATTTTTACATGTACTATTAGTCCTAAAAACTATATTAGATTGACTAAAATATTGAAAAAATTTTCAGCAGCACAAGATCGACAAACAAGTCAATATTATTGAAATCATCAATCGACTCCTTACAGTTGTCTCCCCTAATTATCTTGAAAACTTTAAAAAAAAAAAATTGGAAGAATTTTTTTAAGACTTCATTTACCATAAGATGGAGTACAGTTCCATGAACAAATGGAGTCAGTTTAGAACTCATACTCTGCCAGACATAAAAATGTCTGTGTTTTATTATTTATTTGGTTGCCAAAAGTGTTGTGAGGCTTAATGACTATAAGATATTTTTAACATTTATTTGTTTTATTTTCAGATGTTCCATACACATTGCTCAACGAACCGTCCAATTTTAACCCTGTGATAAGTTTTGAAGGACATTATATAAACAAACGACAGGCACCATCTTCATCGGATACAACATCCCCCATTACAGAAACTACGCCAAGTCCTTCTGGAACTCAGAGTACACAATCTTCAACAACATTAAGTACAATTGATGTTAAGGTATGTATTTTGACATAACACCAATGAGGCAATGATTAATGAAAACAGAATATATAAAATACTGTCTTACTATGTTTATATTTGTATATTTATATTTGCCTTAGAAAGTTTGTCCAATGCTTAATTTTGCTATGCTTTCTAAAGTAACCTGGTTCATTTTAACTGTCATTGATTTTTTTCCTTTTTCTGTTGTAGGACCAAGGTTCACATAAGTATTATACTTCAAAAGTTGTACTAAGTGATAAATATTGGGATGAACTAAATGATTTTCCTGCACAGCATGCTTCATTAACAAATGGTCATAGAATTGCTGTGGTAAGTATAACATTACAACAGGTCCTAACAGTTTCCTAGGGAGCAAGTACCTCATCCCCCCCTTTTTTCCACAAATATCTTCCAAATTATATAAAGGATTAACCCTAAATGGGCAGACACTAAGTGCTGCAATGAATTTCCATCTTAAGTTAATTTTCAGATTATGTTTATATAGGTCATTTTAATGACAAGTGTGATTAATGTTCCTTGCAGTGCAATGATATTTTTCTTATTTCTCTTCATTTGTAACTTATTTTCCTAGAATGCTTTTCAGAATGATAAAGTTGTAAAATACATTTTTAAATTTCTGCTACACCAATATACATATACAGTCTATCCTCTTCATCGGAGATTATTTGTATTTCTATACAACTGCAGAAGTAATTCTTCATCTCAAAGAGAGAGACTTCCTATTGGTTTTTCATACTTCATCCCAAAGAGACAACTTCATATTGGTTTTGCAAAACCTATTTAACAAAATTATATAAATTTGACAGGTCAGTGTATTATTCTATTCATATACAAAAAGAATATGAATTGTATATTTTTCCATTAAAAGTTGTTCTCTGGTTCATGAGATCAGTTTACAATGACATAGCATCAGAATTCATTTATTTTATAGGATAATATAAAGTAATATCAAAAGTTCCAATAGGTCATTTTATGTTAGGATATTTGGCTTTAGTATGAAAAGACTTAAGACACAGAATGTTATATTTGTTAAAATTCTGTTATTTTTTTTATTTATTATAGCTGCAATATATATATGATCTTATATAGTAATATAAAAGACTTAATTACTTAAACTGTCTTTAGATTATTTTATGTAAGGATATTTTTTCTTGAAGTTTATGAACTAATAAGTTGTAGATGGTAAAGATGTGTCTGAAAGGTGATTGTCTTACATGGCAATTAATAGATCAATAATTCTCTTAGAGATGTGCCTTTAATGTTCAATTTAAAATGAAAGGTTAGTTGTTAAATCAATAATTCTTACCTTTAATAAGGAGGAAGTAGACATTTAAGCCTGGCTTTAAGCCATTGTCTGTGTCATTAAAAGAGGAAATTTTGTCCTTATTACAAAATTGTATGTACAAATAACAAAAAATGTAAGAAAGAAATCATTTTCCTCTTCTCTTTTCGCAAAATATTTATTTGGTAATATCTTATGATTCTTTGCGTCTAATGTAGAAAATAAATTTTAAGAAATCCCTTTATTTTCCTGTCAGAAAAATAGGATATAAAGGTAGTTTTATGTATAGATAATGATTTGAAAAAAATGCCTTTATTTAAAATGTTTTCTGTAAATATCAGCACATTTTTCAGAAATAATGTTGTGTTTATAGATATTTCTATTTTGGTTGTGTTATCAATTTCCGGAAAGAAAAGATATTTCTCGTTCCACACTGAACACAATGTGATATGAATAAGGGATATGAGAAATGCATTAATTTCCTGCAATGTGTTATGGAATTGTGATATTTCATTGCTTGATTGGCTATTTGTAAGGTCAATGATGACTTTCAAAGATCATATTCCCCCCCCCCCCTTGGCAACAAGACTTTTTGATTTCTTCCTTGTAAATATAAAAGGAATCACATATTTCACCTGAAAATGTTTTTATTTTTGTCAAATTTGATTGCATTCTGAAGCATACAAAAAGTTTATGTCTGATCTTTACACTTGTTCACATAGGTTCCTAACACAATATTCTCAATACCATAAGGCAGATTTATATTTAAAGTGAAGCCTGGAAATCAAAAATATTTCACCAGAACCAAGATAATTTTACCATAAGAGAAATAGGTGTAAACAACTTATGAGAATAGGATGTCGTTTGATATCAACTCTTGTTATTTAATCAAATGATAATAATAAACTCACCAGATGACTCGTTTATTTTTATGTTGAAATTAAATAACTCTAGTTGATATCAAGAGATATCCAATTGGAACTTGTTATGACACCTATAGATATTTGACTGTCAGAAAGTTGAACACTATGCAGTTTGAAGATTTACTTGAAATATATATACAGACAAAATGAAATAGATTTTCAATATGAATGTCTGTTTTAACAAGCTTGTGATACAACATCTTACAAAATATTTACAGAAATTCAATTATCACATCAAGTTGTAAATCTTTCAAGTTTTTATGTTCCAAAAAGGTACCAATAGAAATTTTTATGGAAAACAAATTCCCCTTGGGTCTTTTGAAAATCAATATCTATGTCTGAATTTTGTAATTTCAGTTGTTTTAGCCAAATAATTTAGTGTATACATGGTTTTGCATACAAAATAGATATTAAACTAGTACATTCACCCTTTTCCTTAGCCATGGTTTAATTGATACAAATTGTAAGCAGCATTATAATTCACTCTGTTTGTATTGTTCTATTGATTTTGTCTTTTATTTCATTTGAATTAAAAGGTCTAAAAGCATTAACATAATTGAAGGTTTAAATGTAAGAATTGAAAGATAATTCTTAACAGAAATACATGTATGCTCTATTTTGACTTTACTGGTATGACAAAGATATTTCATATTCTGATTGTACTTAGGTTCAATAAGTCATGTTTTATATGATGAAAATAAAAGAGGATGTACTTTATGTAGAAGTACCCTGTGTAATGCCTGTTTCATTGGGGAAGTTATTAGTGAAAAGAGAGTCAGTCATGTTTGATGCCATTGGGAGTTGCTTTTCATAATAGTTTGACTAACAACAGCTTCCTCGTCAAATTTTCTTGCATTTAAACCCTGCAGTTACAGTGGCTGAAAGGAAGTTACTACAGGTGTTTTAAAAAAGTACTAAGATGTTTAATTTGTCCACAAAAGTAGCTTTAATTTTCAAACACCCCTTATCTATTTGGATTTTTAAGATTTGGCTTATACTTTAGACAAAAAAACATGTCAATTATTGATCTGATTGACACATCACAAATTAAAAGTATTGAAACTGAATCATATGGTCAGCTGTAATCTGTTTACCTAGGCCAACACATAGATTAATGATCAAATATCAAACAAAGTTTGGTTAAGTTTTAAAGGTATCTTATAGAAATGGTGAATGCCATTTTAGAGAAGGAAATGAAAGGTTGTCAGGTCACACAATGTTAGCTTCTATATTGATTCTGACCAAAAATAGTAATTATGAATAAGTCTATGATTGAATTCTATCCAGTCTTTAATTTGCTTAAAGGAAGATGAGAGTACCCTCTGTGTTTAAATCTTAGGTATGATCGGTGTCCACAGCCAGGTCTCAAAAAGCAAAATATATATAGCCATATAATCTAATGTACAGATACATCTTGAAGAGACTTAATCAGTGGTCTAAGTTTTAAAGCTCCATTACTCATAGAACTGGTTTAAATGCTTGAGTTCACTTACTAGATACTTAATGACCTACAGTTAATTTGGTATTGAGATACTTAATCACCTACAGTTAATTTGGTATGTAGATACTTAATCACCTACAGTTAATTTGGTATTGAGAATTGGTATGTAGATACTTAATGACCTACAGTTAATTTGGTATGTAGATACTTAATGACCTACAGTTAATTTGGTATTGAGATTTGGTATGTAGATACTTAATGACCTACAGTTTATTTGGTATTGAGATTTGGTATGATGAGACAACTATCCACCAAACACCAAAGTTTGAGAATGTAAACCACTACAGGTCAATGAACTATATGTTATGCCTCATATTTCAGATCTCAAATGGTGACTTTAAAATGTATAACTTGTAGGATCGAATAATAATATATGAGAAAAAAAAAATTTGAATTGACTTATTTGATGTGGTTAAGGAGACTAGCTGCTTTTGTTGGACAGTTTCAAAATATAAGTAACCAGATTTTGAAAACAAGTAAAAGTAAAATAGCAACCTGATGTAATTCGGATTATTTTGATTAATTCTCCCGTGTGTCAAAGGCAACTTTCTCCACTAATGTGATGGGTGTACATGGTGCATTTTTTAGTCTTGACAAGTTTATTAGGTCGAGCAAATAGTTTTAGAGTTATTTCCTTGTATTTTATGTTAGAACATTTCAAAAGTTCATTTAGACATGTCAGGCAGAATATCAAACATGTATTTGGAAAATCCCTAGAAAAGTTACCTCTGGAAGCAAACTGACCACCATGATGGCATATAATTCTATGAATGTGTACAGAAAAATCACAACAGAACAATTTCTTTAAAATATGTCCACCAGGTATTGAATATATGTATATTTGTTGTGAATCAAGATCTGTTTTATTGTATGTAATTGATTATTGATTAATAAATAGTGTTTTTGTTTTCGTTATACAGACTGTTGGTTTAACATTTGGTTTTCCTTTTTATGGCCACTCAGTAAGAAAAGTCACCATAGCAACAGGAGGTAAGTTAACAAATAAGAAAAATGTTATGAGAACATTTTGTTTAAACAAACGGTAAAACATCATTACCATACAACTTTCACCTCGAACTGAAAACTGCAGTGAATACATGTGATTAAAAAATTAATTGTGAATGACACTAAAATCGTAAAATATCTATAGGTCAACAGTCTGTATCAATATTTTATATTTGTCAAGCTCCATGAGTTTAGAACAGTAGTGAATTATTTAACAGAGAGTAGAAAAGTTCTACCAACAAAACAAAATTCCCTAAATGACATAAGACATTAGTCATATTAAGATATAACTTAAAAGACAACCACTAAAAAGGTTTGGGACAGGCACCTGTACATTTGGTGGAGTGAAACTAGTTTTTTGAGATCTCACCCCCCCCTATTAGATAGGATCATTGGCATGACATAAGAACATACATGTACAATGATAATCAGTACAGAAATACTTAAATTTATAATACTGTTATAAGATAGAATAAAAATATAAGTACAAACTCAACAATAATAAACAATACTGTATCAGCGAGGGCTCAAAGTAACTGATACAACGCTACTGATATGAAATCATGCCGTTCCATACGAACACATACACTGTACTTTATTTTCCCTTGACTGAATAAGGGCATTTACTAAACATTTGTTGTAAAAAAATAATTTAATCGAAACTTAACTTGAGGATACTAAAGAAAAATTTACATGTGTTAAAAAAACACTAAACAAATTTCTAGTGAGAAAACAAGTTTATGTTATACAAGAAACAACTTGTAATTTTAAAGTTTTACAAACATTGTTAACTTTTACGTCAGTTGGTCTCTGGTGGAAAGTTGTCTCATTGGTAGTCATGCATACCACATCGTATTTTTATAATGAAGCCCCATAGATAATTGACTTCTATTACTCAGTTTTGTATTTGTCTGTCTGATGTTGCAAATCTTTTAAATGAAAATATGACTTGTATGACAAAGCTTAATGACAAGTGTACATGTGTTTACACACAGTTAATCTATTTCTTATACTTCCTAGGATAGGATGATCGTGTTGAAATACCCCTATATCATCACAGGTCTCTGAGTAATACATGATTATATAGTATATATGGTGACACTGTTAACAATACCCTGTACTTTCATGCATGGTCTATATGAGTTCATTTAAAATTTTGTTATACAAGTTGTTTACAGTAAATAGTTCCATTTTATAACCTTACATGTCCTTTGCTATGTATTTTAATAAGAAGATTGGTAGCCTGTTTATTCTATCATAACATTTCACTACTTTTCTGTTTGCACAAAACCTACAAATTCAATTAATTTTGCCTCAAAATGTTTGCTAGAGTTTTGCAAGGTTTATTAAACTTTGCCGATAGTCTTTCAGATCTTATGATAATTTACTTGGAATTGATGTCCAAAATTAAGAAAAAATTGAAATTTTGTTCACAAATGAGAAATATTATTTTTAACTTCAACTGGTATTTTACTTGCAAGATATATTTGGGAAAAATAATAAAGAATGGATAAACATCAACCCTTATCTATGAATTCACATGTAGATTCAAATTTATGTGACATCAACACTCTTAGAGTATTTGCTTTGTTTTGCATTATGTCAACTTTAACAGAAACAGTATATTTGAATTAAATTTGATATAACAAATAGGTAAAATACTGACGCTGCACAATTTATTATGCATGTTATGTACAGTATCCCTGAATATGATAGCATTTCTATTAAGTTTTACAAAAACTAGCCCATTACATTTTAAAATGTAATAGTCTTATATACAGAGACAGGCTATTGAAAATACTTTAAACTGCATAAACTCTTCCTAAAAACTTTCTTTCAGTGCAGAAGTACTGTTTTGTCCTATTTATAATCATTCAAATACTAATGTTACTGTTATTGATTGTTTAAAGCTTAAGTTTTGGCAGGGAACATAATTTTAAAATTTATTTGAATATACTTCAGTATTGATTTTGAAATTCGTTCAACCCTGCAATGTAAACATTCACATAATACAATGTAGGTAAAAGGAAATTTAATTTTAAATCTATTAATTATAATATCTAGAATTAAGCAGATATGTACATATTTTTCTTACAAAATTAAGAAGTTTAAGGATTGTTGATCATATCTATATGCACTTAAAATGATAAATTTGATTTTTTGATAAAAAACAATAATCTGCCAAACAAGAAATTGTGTTTATAAACAAATTAAACACATAGTAATTGTAAAATGCAGTTTTTGGCTTATATCTCAAAAACTAAAGCAGTTATAGCAAAACTCACATGAGTTGAAATTGATCAGTAGGTCTAGGTCTATGTTATCATAAGTTTTCAGAAAACATTAAATGTCAATTTTATTAAAAATTATCTCTAAAACAGAGCAAAACTGACATGGGTTATTATCTTGAAAGCTATAATAGATAGAGAAAAATTATGAAGAGTAAAAATTACCAAATTCTACAAATAGGTCAACATAGAGGAAGGCATCAATTGACCACTTAAAGGAGTTATTGCCCTTGAATAATGGTTTTACCTATATTTGGCAGATATTATAATAGAAGGAGAGAAATTCTGAAAACGAAAATGTTCAGCAAAATAAGATCTACAAATATTTTTTTACCAATTTTTGCAGAAAAAACATAATAGATAGAGAGAACTGTAAAAAGCAAAAATGTTCAACAAATTAGATCTTCCAGTCAAATCATCATAACTGAAACCATTAATTGACCCCTATAGGAGTTATTGCCCTTGAAAGATGATATTTGCCCATTTTTACAGAAAACAAAATTGAAACTGTAAGAAATTCCAGCAAAATAGGATCTAAAAATAAGTCAACTTTGCTGAAATTATCTAACTGACCCTTTATATGAGTCATTGCCCCTGAATGACCATTTTTACCATTTTTACCCATTTTATGTATTTTTTGTAAAAACTATAATAGATTGAGAGCAAAAATGTTCATGAAAATAAAAACTTCTAATAAGTGAACATGGTTGAAATCCTCAACTGACCCTTTAGAAAAGTTATTGCCCTTGAGATGATTTTTAAATGTTTTTTTTTTTTTTTTTGCAGAAACTATAAAAGAAAGTAAATAGGAAAAAATTTCAGCACATCAAATTCTTCAAACAAGTAAACATGGCTGAAATTGTTAACCAGCATCTTTGTTTATTGGTCTTAAATGGATAATTGTCTCATTGGTAATCATACCAATCTCCTTATTTTTATATTTTTACTTATAGGTTTTTGTCTTGCTTGCGAGAATGCAGAATACAAGACATTGGGATTACAATCTGTTGGCAGCGGCAGTGGTGTAAACTATTTGTACTAAGCTTTATATGTCAAGAGGGAAAAAGACAGAGAGGTTTCATACCTTGTTTACAGATACCTTATGTTACAAAGTTTCCGTCTGTCAAATGTCTGTTGTCCTTGACCTCATTTTCATGGGTCAGTGACTGATTAAAAAAATTAATTTTGTCATGTCAACGTCTCACTTATTACAAGTAAAAGGATAACTATATTTGGTATATGAGTTTCTTGCAAGGCCTAGATGTCTGTCAGACAAGGTTACATGACCTCAACCTCATTCCATGGATCACTGATCAAGGTTAAAAGTATGTGATTAGGTTTGTTGCTCAAATGCTGTAAGCAGTAGGTCAACTATATTTTATATGTCAGTCTGGCAGGTTTCATCTGACTTTGACCCCACTTTCACGGTTTATCGGTCAATGTGAATTTTTTGTGTTTTGGTCATTTTTTCTACAACTATAAGCAATAGGTCAATTATATTTGGTGTATGGAATGATTGTAAGGTATACATATCTGTCTGGCCAGTATCACCTGTCCTTGACCTCATTTTCATGGTTCATTGTTCAATGGTCAGTTTCAGTAGTTGGGTCCTCTTTTAAGATACTATAAGCAATAGGTCAACTATATTTGGTGTATTGAATGATTGTAAGGTGCACATGTCTGCCATCTGGAAGGGTTTATTTGACCTTGATTTCATTTACATGTACATGGATCATTGGTAATGTTAAGTTAATATTCATCTTAAGGACTTTCAACATAAATTTAATCAGATTAGTAAAGCTGACAAGACTTTTCAGTATATTCACTTTTGTTTCTTTCAGGTTTTTTGTATATGAGTCCATTTTTACACTCCTGGTTAACAGCAACACAGTATATAGCTCCATTGATGGCAAATTTTGATACAACAATTGGAAATGGTTCCGATATTTTATATAAAGATTACAGTAAGTTTTAGACAGAACATTGTACATTTGTAATTCAGGTAAAGGAAAAAGAAGGATTTGGTGAATTAATTCATGCTACAAAAGTACCTTTTCATGCTTGGCAAACCCAAATTCAAGGAATACATAGTACTTTGATTTCTATACTTCATCTTTAAGTCATCATGAATCCTTCAACAAGGAGCAAAAGCTCACCCCTAGCTGCAAGTTGAAGATTGTTCCTAGCACTGGTTTGAGGACGATAATACTACATCTAGAATCATTGATATACATACAGATTGATTAATTTTTGCTTGCTTTATGTCCAGTGGCAATTTTTCATGAATACTCTATAGACAAACAAAGTAATTGTTTAAAATGAATACAATATGTAGTTTCTTCAAAGCATGTCAGCCAGAATGAAGGATAGTAAATTTGGACTGCAACTGGCAAATTATGATATTTGGTCAGGGGCAGACATTTTGGCTTGCCGTATCAACAAGTTTTATTTGGATACTTAGTTATATAAAAAAAAAGGAGACATGGGATATTTTCCAATGAGACAACTTTCCACCAAAGTTCAAATGAAGTGGATGTAAGCAATTATAGGTCACTGTACGGACTTCAACAATGTGCAAAAACCATACTGTATAGTTAGCTATAAAAGGTCAAGATATGACAAAATGTGAAACAATTTTAACGAAAATTTAGTAAATGAGTAAATTTACTTTCTTATATAGATATAAGAAAATGTGGTATGAGTGCCAATGAGACAACTCTCCATCCAAGTCAAAATTTATACAAGTAAACCATTATAGGTCAAATTGAACATTTTCCTCTTGATTCTTTTATTTTACATTAAAAATGATAAATTTACACAAAGGGCACAATATTTTGATATGCTCACACTATTAGGCAAAATTGCATAAAGTTTAGATTTACAGACAATTTTATAGAAAGCTTACTTTGATAACAATGTAGTAAGTTTGAGGTAACACAACACTACACAAAGTTTTTCCAGCAGATTTATCCTTAAAAGGCATCAATAGATTTTGGAGAATTTTTCAAAGGTGCGTTTAAATTATGAAAATAAAGTTATTTTTTGTTGATCTACAAATATTCTTGAATGCTAATCCTTGGAACAGACAGGAAATGATAATCAAGTAATCAAATAATGGAAGCTTCCTAAGTTCTGTTTATGGGTTTAATCGGTCATTAGATGTGACTTTTGTCAAACTTAATCAGAAATTTGACAGTAGATAAGACATTATCTCCAAACAGACAAGACTGCAACACAGAAAACCAATGTTTTATTGATTAATAGGCATACAGGAAAACAGTTTTTAACTCAATTAAGACGTGATCGAAACCTTAAACAGTTATTAGACTTGATATATCTTTGTTGGAGATTATTACAAAATGACAGAAAGTAGGCATTATAATTCTGTAGAGGAAAAAGACACAAAAAAATGGTATGTGTAATTACAGGGAATCAATTTCTATTTTATGTTCTATTTTGATGCTATTGTTCAGATTTGAAATGCTTAATAGTTGTCAAATGCAGTTAATGGTTCAATTTCCTTAAACATGCCATATTACCAACACCAACTACGATGATAATATCTAGTTTATATGTTAAGTGTTTCCCAAATCATAAACAATAAAATGAAATCTTTAATTTTATATCAAAAATAATTCAAACATGTTGTATATAATATTGAGTTTGTGTTGTCTTTCTGTTTCATTTCAGTTAATTTGATTAACTTTGCTTATTTAAGGTCATACACTTCAGTTATTACTGAAGCTTTGACACAAAGTCAATCTTTAAATGTACTCTCAAAATTTGCCAAAGTAAATATACCTTTATAACTTACTGTACAAGATATTTCAGTTTGATTTTGGCACATTTTGAGTGAATTTCTTGTCTTTATGCAGAGAGCAGGCTGCATTCAATTGATTTTAAATTCATGGAATTAATTTGATGACATCGTTGTATTTTCATCCCAATTAAGAAACTTCAGAATAGCAATTTGTTGTGCCAACAATGTTTGAATACATAATGTTACACATGAATAGTTATAATCTGGTCCTGTATTGTGTTTCTTCAATACTTCAATTGACCTATAATCACTCTTTTAAGCAACCAGCATTGGTCCAGTCAAATGAAGGCTTTACAATGAGTATGGCAATAAAGAAAAGATGTTATTTGTTATTCACTCAATATTAAGAAACTAAAATGAGTGTCATTTCAATCAGATAATTTTTTTTTTTTTTCAGCTGATCGTTTTGTTGTGGAATGGCGAGATGTTTACCTTCAAGATCAGAATCACAGTGAGTTTCTGGCTTGTATTTAAGATCTGATGCTTGCAATCCCTTAAATGATCAGGATCTTATATGACTATAAAGTACAGATAATTGATTGACCTAACATGATCAGACTTATGCTGGACTTGTAATCAAAAGGTTTTCAGCGTGATATATTTTAGCTTTAAGTATCATTACTGCAGCCGTATTTATCATTCATAAGAAGAAAATAATCATCATAGAATTCTTAAGCAGCTTCTAGGTTACCTAGAATGTTATTGACATCCTCTTAATGACTTACATTGTATTAATAGTGTCTTATTGATATTCATGGACAGGAATGGTATCAAAGTCAATTGGAAAATTATCGTTATAATACCATTAAGTTTGGACATACTTGTTTAAGAATAAACTATCTGATTTCCTAGAACCTATTTGCATCATTGCTGTCATATTTGTACCCCAACCATCATAAGGTATTGACCAAGACAAAATGTTTACACAGTTGCTTGGTTCTACAAATACAAGCTGTATTCTGATATTAATTTATTTTTCAAATTGTGAATGTTTTGACAAATATCATGCTAGGTAGTTACAAGAATGGTAATTTTAAGACCATTTTCAAAGTTTTTTTTTCTAATTGGATGGCATAAATGAGATCATTGATGTCACACAGGTTAACACTGAACCTTCTAGAAAATTTCATTTAAATATTAAAATTCTTTGAAAGCACCAGATAATTAGAACCAAAATTACCTTTAATAGTGTTGCCTTTTGTACAAAAAAAAATCAGTTTGTTCTGATTAAGTGAAAACATGACTGCAAAGATAACTTTTGAAATTTCTTCTAAGAAGGGACTCCAAAATCTTCTCTGACTTCATTTGAATAATGATTGGGAGAGCCTGTATTATTAATTTTTTTTCATTCTGATCAGATGGCATGCAAGGTGACAAAGATTCTTTAACTGTTTTGTTAGACAAATTAGGAAATCATCTTCATGTTTCCTCTTACTTGGCCAATCTTGGACAGGCATTTATTAGTTCTAATTGCTGAACCTACGAGTTTCTCCTCCTGAAATTAAAAGTTTGAAACATTCCAAATTTACATTAGTAAAAAGGGAGTCTCTACAAAGCCTCTGATTTTTATTTTGGATAATGACTGATTGAGTCGCATAAAAGACATAAATACATGCATATGCTAGGTTCTCACTGAACCATAAGTTAAATCTCACAAACTTAACCTAGAAACAGTAAACTTTTCTTCGAAGGATAAATGTACTGTATTGAGAGTCTTGTATGACAGTTGTCTTTTATTCCAATCAGCTGAAGAAAATATCCCACCATAGCTAGTTGTAATTACATAAGGTGATCAATTTCAAATGCCAGAATGTTTGACAAAATCCTGAAAAGAGTCAGGCTGTCGAACTAAGAAAATTGGTTGAAAGTGAATGGGAGTGGTAGATGTAAATATTGGGCATGGACTCATGTGATCAATACACACTCTTTATAGCCTCCAGTTTATATTTATAGACTTTCAAACAAACATATTTTGTAGCCATTATCTGACTTATTTGTTTTTTTACCATTTTTATCTGCAGTTTCTCATGATAGTTTCTATATTTTTCTTTCTATTTTAGTCTTACAAAATTGACTATTAAATATTAACTTTATTTTTATACATCATAATTCAGTTTTAAAGTCAATATTAATATTTTGATGTCAGAATTAAAGTTTGCGATTATTACTGAATTCTTCTTAAATAAGAGTTCAAAAATTATTGACATTTATATATACATTTGTATAAAGTATACTTATTACATTGGTTGCAATGAAATACTCAGATTTCCCAGTTAAATAAAAACTGATTATTTCACTCCTTTGAAGTTATATTACAATGGTGTTGTCAAGACACTGTAGATGAGGTTGCATCAAAAGGAATTGGGAATGTGTAGAAAAAGACACTTATAACTAAATCATATACTAGTCTAGCATTCATGAATTCATGTGTTGTTCAGTCACTTGTTGAATAATTAGTTATTCTATAAATATTGTTATTCTGATAGTGAACATTTTATTTATTTATAAATCAGATAAGAAACCAGTTAGAAAATAAGTACCTGAAAATTCATTGATTTATATAGAATATGTAGAGTAAAATTAAAGTCATATGATACTTCAAATTTTAAAAGAAAGTTGAATATGTTTGACTTTAAAACGTGTGTGCATGGACTTTCTCTTAAAAGAAAATCCTTTCTATTATCAAAATCTTCAAAAAAAGTACTGCCATTGAATTATCGTCTTCCCGTTCTCCTTAACCACGAGACCTTTCGTTATAATTTTGGCAACCACACAACTCAATTGCAAGGGAAAAACCGTGATGAAAGAAAAAGTGAACAAATGTGGGTAGATAGTGTTTATTGATTCTGAAAGAAAAAAAATTAATATCGTTCTGTCATTTCCTTTATTTTCACGTGCTTAATGATTCTTTGTTTATTGTTTATTAAGGTCGTGATCAGTAAAATTTCGGTATTATATGGTATGGATTGGTAATATTTGTAAAAACATGTGCATAGAGGAGTAAGTTTAGTGTATATGTGTGCATTGGTTCAATAATTTCCATAACATTATAATTAAAAGAAACTCGTTTCATTTGACGGTAAATAAAAAAAACTTGTTGAAATTTTGTTTATTTATTTGAATAAGTTTTGAGAATATGAAAAGGAATAACTTATTTGTACATATTGTAAATATCCTATGCAATACTGTAATTGATTTATTTTCCTTTCAGACAAAATTTTAGACAGCAAGATATTTATTAAAGTATATATCAATGTTCTTGTTACAAAACAAATGCTTACAACCTTGTTGTAAATTTGATCATTCATTGTAAATTAGGTTTGAGTATTTGACAAATGAAATGTCTGTTCGCTTTATTTCCGCCACAGATAATCCTGGTAATTGCACCTTTTTTTGTTGTAAAGTTGTTATAAGATGGTCATTGATTGGTCAGATGTGTATTGCTTGCAAATAAGAAATGTCATATGAACTCTTGAAGCTATCAGCTTTCAATTGAAAATACAAACATTGTGTGATAATGTAGAAATTTAATATATTCTTCAGCTTTTGAAGTCTGGGGAGTTAACAAATGGGCCATCATAATGATAGGTTCAGTATACATTTGTATTCTGTTATTCTGAACGACAAAAAAGTCGAGCAAATTGTCAGCCTTGAGTCCTATTTCAGCATAGCCCACCCCAAAGATATATCATTGAAAGTACCACCTCAGATGTGACATCATTCTATGCTTGTCATTGTTATAGAAATATCTGGTTCTAAACCTGACTACATCAGAAAAAAAATAGTGTCCAGATCATATTTTTAAGTGATTAAAAGAAATAATTCCCACACAGTATTTTAAATAGCACCATGGCAAAAGAGCACCATGGGATTTGAAATTAACAATGTATCCTTAAAATTATACCACTACATTTAAAATACATTCTAATGTAAAATCTATTCAGGTAGCACCTTGGTTAAAAAATGTAGTACCATGATACCATTGTGCCATACTGCCCTTCAGGTCAGAGAATTAACTTTTATTTGTGACTTAGAGTGTACTGAAAAGCTTTCAAGATTTAGGTATTTTTGCATTGTTTTTCATCAGTAGGAAACAAGTTTTTCTCTTATATACTGTAAATTCATTATTATTCGTGGAATATAAATTTTTGTGGATTTTGTGGGTATAAATGAACTATGAGTTTATAAATGCTCAAGGAAGTACAATTTTTATTTAGGCTTGTATGCAAACTTTGGCAAAACCATGAAATCAAATATCCATGAAAAAACAATGTTTTCTCCATCGACGAAAATTGGTACTCACCAAAATAAATAAATCCACAGTATATTTGTTGGCAATATTAAACAAACTTTAATTTCTGATCACTTAATGAAAAACAGGAAAGTTGTACACCAAGTAACTGCTACCTCACTCTAATAACATTAAGAAAAGTGTAAATAGAGAAATGTTCCTAAAGGCTAAACTATTATCAGTCTCTGGAAGCTGCCCACCATAGGGCATAGCTTTTTAAAGAACTGCATAAAAAGTCTGGCAAACAATATTTAGAACCTAACAAAAGGAGGAAGAATGTTGGAGAATAAATCTCTTCAGAAATTATGGTTTTTATGACAAATTTTACTTCCAAGGTTATTACTATTGTTAAATATATTTTGATGCAGTACCCTATGGCACACATTAAATCGAGGCTTGCTTTTGACCTGTGTACACTGGTTGTTGTTGGTGGAAATAATGGGAAAATAATTGTCATTAAATAATACATAGAATTATTTCCGCCTCCAAATGACTGTTTTACCATATTCTCCAGTAAAATCACTTTTTGTTAAGTTGTACATAAATCAATGGTACTTTATTTTCTTTGATCATATAGAGAATTATTGAATCTTAATCAAAGAACAAAGTCCATAATACAAAAGCTTTTATCTGTCATAGCGATAACATGATTGGAGGACATTATATATATAGTGATAGAAGAAGGAAACAGATCTTCATTAACAACAAAAGATTTAGACTGCCATTTGAGGAAAGCTGATTTAAGGCTTGTAATTCTCTTTATTGTCTGTTTATTGGATTCTATAATGTGATTACCTTATAGCTGTCTCTAGGAGTCAAATCTTAAATGAAATGATTGGCACATTTCTCACTATATATAGTATTGATCATTGAGTTGTTATGGAATGATTTAGATAACCTATCAGACAGTCCTTACAAAATGTTTCAATAAAAGTTCTGGTCAGATACTAATGATTGCTTAATAGTATGTCATTGGAGGTTGTCCTATTAATTAGTAGTTCTCAAATTTTATAATCTCATAAAACTTGGATGATGATCAGGAGAATAATAGATGACACTACACCAGAAACAAGTAATACTTAGTATATGTAACAGATTTCCTTGCAATTAGGTTTTGATAGCCAACATTGTTTAGTTTTCTTCATTAAGTTAAGGGGGAA